GCCTTCAAAGGTAGAGGTGTAGCTTCTTTCTTTGACTTGGTTTGGTCTTAGCAGGATTCCAGCATTGTCTCCCTCTCTGTATCCAGGCCAAATCTTAATAATAATTAAGTAAAAAAAAAAGGATTTTTGTATTCTCTTTGTTCAGTAACACATGGCACTCAAAAGGATTCAGAAGGTATGTATTGGCGCGTTGTATTCTTTTCACTGGCTCTTTATTTTTGCTTAACCTGTTCGGAATTCCCTTCTTAATTTTTTTTTTTTTTTTTTTGAAGAGATTGCTGCATTGAGGTTTCCCCTTATTATATGTAGGTATCTTCTTGAATCTTACTGGCAGATTCAGTGGTGTAGGATTTAATGAAGTGGTAATTTTAACTGTTTGAATTTTCATGAAATGAAGTTTGTTTTTTCGGAATATTTTTTGAGGCAATATTTTAAGTGATTTGGTACATTTTTTGGATGCTAGAACATTTATTGATAATTATGAGTTTTTAATGATGACGACAGTTAAGTTTTTGCCAAAATTTGTTCCCCTCTCCTTTTGGAAATTGAAGGTATTAATTTTAAAAAGTTATTCTATTGTTTAGGTTTTTTGCGGTGACTCATTAGTTACTTTTTGTCAGAGATTGTCTCTAGAAATTGCGTTTACTTCTCGTCAAATTTTTACCTTATTCTAGGAGAAGCTTAGTACGTGTTGATGAAAATGTGTTTTTTTTCACAGTTTCTTTCATGTCAGTATTTTTAACTGCACAAGTTGGCTTAATCGTCGCTATATCGTTTTGTTGTGGACAAAAGTTTTAACAAAATTCTCAGTTTTCTGCTTCGCATCGCTGTAATGACCGTCTTCTTTTAGATATTATTTTTTGACAGGTTTTAGTCATCAAAAACGAGTTATACAGGGCATATGTTGCTAACTCAGGACGCTTAACTACATATTTGGGATTTTGATGTCATTTTGGCGATTCTACTTTTGAGTTTCTCATTGAGCGTTTTTTAAAGTAGATGGCGTTTTCAAAAAACGTCTTGGGGACTTCTGCTTTCCTGTGGTGGCCATAGCGCGCACTTGAGGTTTAGTCTTGATGGCTTCTCTAGAACCATCAAGTTATTTATTAATTACCTTGAGGAGTAATATGTGTCCTAGACTCTTGATACTAAATTCAAAATTCAAAGTTCTCGAAGCAGTCTATTTGTATAACGTGGTTTTCTTCCTATTTATTGTGCTAAACTTTCTATCCTTATTCGGCTGAATTGAAGCATACTTGGATATACCAGTGGAAATTAAGGTGCATGAAGCGTATGAAATCAGATAAGCTATATATGATTTCTTTGGATTTACTAGAGAGGGAAAGGTGTTGAAAGTTCTTCATTTCATCTAGGTAGTTGCTTCAGCCAGAGTTTGCTATATGTGATGGGGGAAATTTTATTGCAGCAACGACTTCACTTTTTAGCGGTGTAAATTAATGCTGTTTTTCCAGGAACTTCAAGATCTTGGTAGAGATCCTCCAGCGCAGTGTAGTGCAGGTCCTGTAGGTGATGATTTATTTCATTGGCAGGCTACCATAATGGGCCCTCCAGAATCACCGTATCAAGGGGGAGTCTTCTTTTTGACGATCCATTTCCCCACAGATTACCCCTTCAAGCCACCAAAAGTAAACTTTTTCTTATCATTTTATATCCCTTTGATAAATGCAACTTAAAAAGTGCTTACTGGCGATTTTGGCATATACAAATCCGCCTTTGTCGCTTATTATTAATTTTTTTTGATATTAAGGGAAGTGTAACTTGCATTTTCTGCAGAATTTTTACAGGATTAAAAGCAGCTTTTTAAGATGTCGCTTTATTTCTAGTATTTGTTTTGACGGGTTTGGAACCAACTTTGTTTTGAATTTTTTGTACGAAATTAGCTTTGTAATATTGTCAAAAAAGATGTTTGTTTTTCTCGTGCGGGCAAATTAACCTTTAGCCTTAGTTGGGTTCTGGTACATCTTCCATGTTCATTGGATCCTGATATAGGAAATGAAAATTGTTTTATGCGTTTTTCAACTTTTTTCAAAAATAATGACCTGTCTATTGGCATGCGTCACGTTACTTTTATTCTGTCATCAAAGTTTTAACTGTTTTTCTTCTCTCTTCTACTTTTGGTGGAGTTTTAGCAGTCGTAGGCTACAACTTTGGTTGTTTCTTAATTTTGCACTTCAGGTGGCGTTCACTACTCGAATATATCATCCAAATATAAACAGTAATGGAAGTATTTGCTTAGACATCTTGCGTTCTCAGTGGTCTCCAGCGCTAACTATTTCAAAAGGTGAAGTGATAGCTTAATTTTTATTGGTAAATCTTTGCTTTTTCCGCTCTTCCACTTCGACTTACGATTATGCACTGATAGACTGGAATTAGGACGATCTTTGATTTCTGAATTTCTGAAAACTCCAACTCTGTCTTAACTTGCATTTAGCACAAGATTTTGATTTGGCCTTTTTATTGGCTTTTCATTTCATTTTGATTTCCTTGAAGCTCTTAGTGTTCTTTAAGTAGTAGTTTCCAATGTTTCTGGCCCTCTTTTGAAATTGTTCAATTACTAGAGTTCTTACGGTTACACGGTATTCATTTTCTCCTAGGTCACCATTTAGCAGTTGAGGATTAGACCATTTTACTTGAATTACCATGTTTTTTGGGCAGCACACGTGGAGCATGAGATTTTAAAAAAAACCTGGAGAGGAGGAGGTGAGCTGGAAGTTGGGGAAGAAATTAAAGAAAATACCAAGAGTTTTTGAAGTGGTTTGCTTTTCAGTACTGCTTTCTATTTGCTCTCTGCTTTGTGATCCGAATCCCGACGACCCACTAGTGCCAGAAATTGCTCGTATTTATAAAACGGATAGGGATCGGTACAATCAGTTGGCTCGCGAATGGACTCAAAAGTACGCGATGTGATTTAAAGCTTGTTTCATCGTTGTGTCAATGTTGTTTAAGGTTTCGTTTTAGGATATGACTATAAAAGTTGAACTGGGAAATCCGTTTTATTTCGGAATCTTTCGTGTTTGTTGCCTCATCTAGTCTGTATTGTAATTTGGCAAAACATGCAGGAACTCCAACACTGAGAAAACTAATTCTATTGCGACATTTTTTTATTTTTCTTGAGTTCCTTGTTCAAAATATTGTCGCATCACGAGGTTCCCTCAGTTGGCAAAGGTTAACTTCCGATGCTTTTGCTCGTATATTTTGAATCTTTCATGAGAACCCTATTTCCAGATTTTGTTTTATTTGACTGAATGCTTCTAATGTCAGTTTTAAGTAATTTTTGTCAATAAATCATGAAATTGCCATGACATCAGTGGCGGGTAAATCCACTAGTCCCCTGAACAGGGTAACTGCAGCCACGTCGAGGGAGGTCCTGAAACTCTATCTTACACTAGTCAATTAAAACGCGCTGCATCCCATCAGTTGTTCCTTTTTTGTTAAGATTTTATTAGTGTGGTTGCTGAAGTGTTTCGTTGTGTTGCTTCTCTAACTTTTCTGCTGAGTTTTTTTATTTGTAGAAGCATCCAATGTCCAGGTGAAGGTGCATTGCATTCTATATGAAATTCTTGTAAATTTGGCCTTGGGGTATGAATTTTTGAGTTGGTTCAGGTATTGCATCGTAGTGCGGACAGTACTTCCTATATTTAGGGGAGGAGTAGGGGGACAGTTTTATAGCCAATTACCGATGTGGAGATTTGCCGCATGCATAGGGAGAAGCTAGCAAAGCGGAGTCCAGAGACATGCTCAGAAGGCCAGGCGGTTTCAAGTAATGTGAAGGGGTGATTTTGCTGGAGTCCTGGGAGTCAGTGAGACCAAGCGGTGCGTACTATACGATAAGAAATATGTGGTGAGACGGCGTCATGCTATATGCACATATGCGAATGGGCATTGGGAGTAAAAAACACCATTACGTTCCTAAAGAGCAAAGGAGCTGAATTTGCGACTACACCCCATCGGATTATATCACCCAGCTGTCTTCTTTATTCTTATCCAAAGCATGCCAGCGAATCGACGTTTCTAAAATCACAGGCAAAAACTGGTGACTCCAAATACCTCTGCAGAAGGCACGTTCAGAAACTCGACAAACTGACGGTAGCAAGACGTGAAGAGTAGTGGTAGATATTTGTTTGCCTAAGCAATCCAATTAACAATTTCTGCTGTCACCGTGCAATGAGTGCATGATTTCCAAAACAGGTTCAAATACCCGCTTTATGAAGGAGCAACCTCAGTCAGTAAAATCTTTTATTAGTAAGTGAGACTCAATAACACAAATATGTACAAACACCAGGAAATTAAATTAGGCAATGTAAAGGAAGTAAGTAAGGAATTTAACAATTTGAGAAAGGCAAAGTATGCAAATTACCCGATTCATTAATTTTTTAGGGGGTAGAGTATGCGGTAACATCCCTGTTGCCCGGACACGGTGTAAAGCTGGGCAAAGACGTGAAATGAGACTGCTGTCAAGAGGCATCGAACAGCTCCTGAACGACTTTAAGTTACATCACCGAATACAATGAAAGATCACAGTGAATTAGAGCACAAATATAGCCCGACTTCTCAACAATGAAATGTTCAGTAATGTCGGAAAAATTCCCAGGCTACAGATAAAATTCAAATACGCGCAACAGCAACGGTGAAAGAAATTTCATGACACATATTTTAGCAGTTTAATTTATTCTACTCTTTTGTAAGTGCGGCAAAATTTGGTGAAGATGCAACTCCAGGTGCAAAAACCCCTCTTTCACAAACATACTCTGGGCAAAAAATTTTTCATCATTGGGAAGCCGGACCGTAGAGTCACAGTAGTCACGGTAGTCACAGATATTTTGCATATACTATGTAGTAGTAACAAGTCTCCGTCATCAAGACAAACCACCACAAAACCAGACTTTGGCAAATGGCTTGACAGCCGCTCTATCAACTTCAGGCGACTGATTTCACCGTTACCAAACCTAATAAAAATGATCAAAAGAAAAAATGAAAAACAGTCAAAGGCAACTTCACAGGCGAAGGCAGTTAAAAGGGCTTAAGAATGACAGAAAGCTCCACTTTTATCATCGAGAAATCAGCTATAACTATGCAACTTCACCATATTAAACGTGGACGAAACCAGGATTTCGTTTAGTGACAAGTACCAGTGCAACAGCTGAAATCCAACACCCAGTAACAATAAATCCTTTTCACTCTGTGCGTCGCTCACAACAGTGAACACTAAAAAAAAAAAACAAAACTATTTAAAGTACTAGAATAACAAGGCCTCTCAGTGCAGCATACCAATGACAGTCCTAGACGCTTTCAAATGTTAATATATCAATAATCTCTCTCCAAATGAATAATCAAAAAAAAAAACTTCAGTCAAAAAGCAGAGCCTGCGAATTGCAGCGAGAAAATGAAGAATATCACTCAAGAACTGTTAAAAAATTGTTAAACTGTTGAGGCACAGGCCTAACAATAAAAATGAGGAAAAAATCTTCAGAAATTGGTATAAAAAACAGAATGTAAATTTCTGCACTTCTCATGTCTATCTCCACTTAATTGATTTTCCAACTTATTACAAACCACTGTTCTTCAAACAACAAATGAGACTTCCGACCCTTTCACCACTTCACTCCGCAGATCCGACGCGACATATCAGCTCATTAACGCAAAAAAAAACAAAATTCAAATACTGACTCGCTGTGACGCCAAAAACCAATGAAAACCACAACATCTGCGTCCACCAAAACAACTTCAAGCAGGAAGAAAAATTGTCAGAAAAAATTGGACCATTGACCTATTACATATAATCCTTTTCCCCAAATAAAAATTCAAAATTCCTAGTTAGAGTTGTTTAACGCCTTAATTAGCTGATAAGATGTAAACATATCCATGAAAACTTCGTCCCCCATATAACAGCGTCCGTTTTTCGCTCAACTCTCCGCCAAAGAAACTACGCTTCGAAAGCACAGGTGGTAAATGAATCGTCGTGATGAGATTTTCATCCAGAAGAATATTAGTAATGCTAGTGGTAATATATCTAAAACCTTCTATGTCCTTACGAGTTCGCTGAAGAAATGTCGAATAAAAATGTACAAAAACTACACAAATCCTCCATCACTTCCGTCACTACTTATAAATGTGCAGTGTAAACTTCTGTAGACCATCACAGACGAGGAAAGTTTAGCGGCTCTGCAATTCGAGGAGAACCGTATCATATATTTACATAGTAATTTACAATTTAAAAAAACCGCCCTTCCGCATTATCACTCCTTAGTTCCCAAAAAAAATCTATATAGAGCTGCTGTATAAGAGACCCACTAACATCTTAAATAACCCATTAAGTTGTTGATATATAAAAAGACTTTTCAGGCAAAGCTCTACTGGACCTAAACTTCTGTTTTAAAGCAGGCCCCTATAAAACATTTTATTCTAGCCACAAATTCCAAATTTTAAAGTTTCTTACAACGAGCTTTTCATTTTTTTTGTTATGGTGTTCAAGAGCTGTTACATTGTAGTTACGGTCATTTTGCGATACCACTCCACCCCGTGGAGGAACAGCATCAGGATGACGATGGCCATTCCTGTTGGCCCTAAAATAATGAATGTGGAAAACTGATTCTTAAAAAAAAAAAGATGAGAAACAAAAGACTTTAAACAGCAAAATGACAGACTTTTGCTCCTGTTCATGTTCCATTCGTTCCTTCTCTTGAATTGATAAGGCAAATAAGTAACTGTAAAAACTACTTATTAATCTGTATTACCTTCTCGGATCTTTATCAGTTAACACTGTCACTCCAAAAAACGAAAGCAATCTGTCATATTTTCAAATCAATCGATACAAAATTACTGCGAGAAATAGTCTGAAAGAGTAGCTATAAGGAAAAAACTCAATTTGCAAATTTTACATACTCGCTCTCCTCCGAAACTTTCTCTTCGGCTTTTTGCTTCGAAACGGTAGAGTCTACAAACCGAGCATCCACAAAAGTTGAATCCCCATCAACAGAATTTAGCGTTTCCCACACAATATACGGCTCATTAAGGTAGCCCTGGTCAGTTACGAGTACATACAATTCTGACTAAAAAAACAAGTTGACTGAACAACAGAGGTTATCCTCCTTAATATTCGAAGACATTTATTAACTAATGTGTAAAAGCAACTGGCGTGTTGAAAGCGCCTTCCGAAATGCAAACCTGATTTTTGCATAGAGTATGAAAATGATTGTTGCGGAAAAGAACAGCAACTTCTCCATCGGTTAATTCTTTCGAGAGCTCAAATAATCCATGAACTGTTAGCTGAGAGGCGGTAGACTCCAGAAAATGTTGAAATAGGGGGGCATTTTCATCGTAACTTGAATTGAGTGCCCTTTCAGCAACTTGATTGTAACCCAAACCTTTTAATATTTCCACTAAAGGTGCTCATATTTATTAAATTACGCAAATACCTTTGAATCAGCAGCAAAATACAAAAACAAGTACGGCTTTTTTCGTTCCAAAACAAAATATTCTCAAAAATAATGGCACACCTCAAACAATGCTTAATAATCAATCAAAAAATTGAAATTATAGAGAAATTGAGGAGTTCAAAGAGTACAAGAAGGGTGAAACAAAAACTAACCCAGCTGCTTCTGTTCCGGATCTACCACCCAACCATGTAACAATCGTATTCCAAGAAGATCAAAAAAAGAACATGATGAGGTAAATTCAAAAAGACGAGCCCTTAAAACCATTTAAAAATATAGATAGCGACCACTACAAGTCCCTCAGAAAAATTTGTGCGGAAGGAAATTATTCCTCAGAAAAAAAAGGATTCAAGCTAACCTTTACTGAAAATTTAACAAGACATCATAAAAGGGCAGAAAGAAAAAAAAAAATGACTCAATACTTTCAAGCCATACCCTGTAAAGTACGGGTTAACGTCTAATCCAGTAGGCAGAGTTTGAACCAGTCCAAGAACGTCGTCAATTATTTTCTCATAGTTTTTTTGTTCTGCTTCCACCAAGTTCTAAGACAGCAGAATAAAGATCAATAAAAATCGAAAACATAAAACTACCTAACACACTATTAAGAAGAAAGAACCAATTAAAAATCTGAGTGAAAAAACTAATGGTACCACAATAAAGAAAACTGTCAAATAACCAACAGTCTTAATTGAAGCTAAAAGTTACTTTTGGTTTCAACTTGAGAATGCAGTCCCCAACCAGTTCTAACAAGTGTTGTTCGCTGACCTGCTTAAAATTTTTTGGAAGCGAAACTTGACCTGTAATAAAAGATGCTAAGGTCTTTATAAAGCAAAATGCTAAAGGAAAATCTGGAGCATAAATAATACTTGTAATTCTAAATGACGAATACAATCTTTCTAAATTCTAAAAATTAATGAGGAGATGATACCTCGTAAAAGAAGCACGTTGATTACGGCTAACAGAGGACATGGCCCATTTTCATTTTGTGTAACCACTGCGTAGGGAGCCTCATTAAAATTTATCCATTTAACCTGCATTAAAGAGACTATTTAAAACCATGAAAAATGAATGGTGAAGGACTATCTTGAAGTGTTGTAACAGCAACTTCCTAAACTTCTTAATTTCGGTACTGTAGACCAAAATTATCTAACTAAAATAACCAGTGATAAGAAACGACTTTAAAGCCACTGAACAAAGGAAAATTCACTTGATAAACAGTTTCCTTCGGTAAACAAGTTTCAGAATTTGAAGTATTTTCACCACTCTGTCCTTCTAATTCTGCAGGCAACAAAACCATCTTAAAAAATCTTTATATCTGAAGGACGACTGTGACAGTGTAAACAATTGTGCATTCAAGCACCGTGAAAAAACACAATAATTCTGGTAACATATGAAAAATGCCGCCTAAAAAAACTCTTATTCAAACAGCGTCCATTTCATAAAAATTTTACTAGTTATTTCACCTCGAGATTCTGACACAGTTTTTCTTATGCTTTATTTGACGGGAAACTCATTTCTCTCCAACCAGTTCCCAGACGCTGTTTTTCCCAGTTGCTTCTCTTTGTACGCTTCAAACTGCTTGTATTCGATTCTCTCTTTACAAAACTTATGCATCATCTGAACTGCTATTTAATCCACTGATAAGCACTCAGTAAGAAGCTATATTAATTTAGACCAGTGAGCTTATCGTCTTTTAGTTTAGAGATAATTTTGCAGTAGAACTGACATGGTCTAGCTAACAAATGGATAAACCAAAATTATGCTTTAAAACACCATTAACGGAAAATGACGAAATGACGAGACCATTAATGCATAAATTATACAGAATTAGAAATACAAGTATAATATTCGAAAAAAAAAAAAAAAAAAA